GGGGGTGCCCCAGGATATCCACATTTTTCTGCTGAACTCTAAATTTTAATTGTCCATGGAACGTTTCTGGTATGAAGACCAAGAAGCTGTTTGGTTGTGTGTTTATCGTCCATCTTTCAAAAAGATTATAGATCATTATTTTTTTTTTCATGTCCAGAACTTAGACAAAATTCCTACAATCAACCTCACGTCCAAGAACGTTGACAATCAAGAAAAGGAAGAGAACCCTTATCGATGATTGAAGTGTGACCTCGGAGTGAGAGCAATGGGCACATTTTCCAATCGATCAATTTCTAGAATGGATATATTGATTGTAAGAAATCAATGCCTCATGGGTCTTGCCTTGCCAGTTGTGCCGAACAAAATGTCTGGAGCGGTTGTGACTTTTGACCGGCCCTTCTATTGTTTGACACCTTTAAACTTACTTTCCCCAAAGCGAATGCCATTGGGAAAGAAAGAAAGCTGAAAGCGTCTGTGGTATAGGTATGTATGTGTGTTTGTGTGTGTGTGTGTGTGTGTGTGTGTGTGTGTGTGTGTGCGTGCGTGCGTGTGTGTTTGTGTATGAGTGAGTTCGTTAGCAATTAAACTCCATCTGCAGCTGTGTCTAGTATTTCCATTGTTCAAGGTGTTAACTTTACTGTACCTGATGTAGAAGCCCTCTGGAAACAAAATGGGCACACAGAAAGACGTTTTTGTGTTGTTGTTGATGCACTGGGAATCCGCTAATAGAATGAATGTGAGACACCCAAAAAAGGAAGGGGTAGACAGAAAGACAGAAAGAAAGAAAGAAAAGAGGGAAAGAAAAAAAGAGAGGCAGAATGTGAAGGGAAGAGAGGGAGAGAGGGGAAGAAAGATATATTGAAGGGGGAAAAAAAGGGGGAGTCGCTGAATTCGTAACAAAGAGGTAATCTCTGAGATCAGCTGGAGCAAAAGACTGAAAGAAGTATTAACTACTGCATGCCGAATAGTCTTGTGCAGATGATTAAAGAACCTTCCTCTTTTTCCACTTTTCTTCTCTCAGCTGTTGCAGTGGTCATCGGTGCTGATTTCCATTTCCAAGTCTAACTAACTATCGGTCAAAAACGTTGTGCCAGCTACAATTAACTAAGCATATATACCGTATTTCCATAACGAATGGATATTCCCCACTTTGTTGTTGTAGGAAGGATCACTGATGTCGGCTTTATAAATACGTCTCAATTAAGAGATTAAAGCTATTCGCTATAAATTCAGGTCTCATAATCATCACTGATCACGCCGAGCCACAAAGCTGAGAAGGGAAATTAATGACGGGAAGCTTGCTTTAATTAGTTCCTAGCGAGTCTCGAAAGGCGGAACTGACCCAATCAATACTAGTTTTGTTGACCGAGCTTTATCAGGAATCATACGCGAGATCGATATTATTTGTAAACTGTAATAAAGGCCGAATTTAGTGAAATATTGCTCATTGTTATGACAAATTTGTTATGCAGCCAAAAGGCTGAACATGCCATTTTTCCACACAAATATAATTTTAATGAAGCCAAAAATATTCTTTTACTGAATTCACATAACTTGTGAGATCGAGGTGACAAATGGGTGTGTGTACTCGGGGAGCCGAGAAGGGACGGAGGGAAAGGAAAGTTACATATCAATGAAATAACACAGTCGTGTCCTACTTTTGTCGTGTACCGAAGCAAAAGAAATCTGAATAGATTAGAGTTCTATAACAGACTGCAGCGATTGAACTAAGCCTATACAATGTGGCAGATATTTCTTTTCTTTTATTAGCTGTCAAGTTCCGGTTTATTCGCTAGTTTTCTCCTTCCAGTTCTAAAACGTCAGCGGAAGATTTAAAACCATGTTATCTAAATTCCTGACGGAACCCTGTTTATGAATATCGTTATGAAGAGTGTGGATCCGATACCTCAAAGGGTAAGATATCATGCAGTGACAGCTTGTAGAGTGCTATCGGCACATATCGTGTTAGAGGTTACTTGAGACGTGTTCCTGTGCGTTTGCTTCTTACTGTATAGTACATACGTTGTTTCATCCGGTACTAAGCCCATACCATGCTGTTGGTACATACCCTTACGTTTGGATAGAAGGGTAGTGGAAGGTTTATAGAGTGAATTTAGCGAACTTTTCAAGGTCCAAGATTTTAAAAAAATTGTCGTGAAATGAGGCGCACGATAAAAAAGAGATACCTTTTTGAGAAACATGTAGAGTGCAATAAAGACTTGAAATAATCGCCAGTCCCCTGCCCGACGATAAAGGTACCCAAGAAAAAGGACACAGAAAGACACAGGGAGAAAG